ATTCAAACGGATAGAGATGTCAAACTTAATAATCAATTAATTTTTTTATATAAGTTTTAAAAAAAGATTACTAGAAGTAAACTTATATTTTAAAATAAAATTTTGTACATTCTATGAATATTTTTCTAATCGACTATTTCATAGAAAATCCCCAAAATTTTAAGAAAAATTTAAATCACTAACAAACATCAAATTAAATTATTTGTAACCAGTCTAGAGACATTCAAATTTATATCAAACATTAATCTTTATGAACCCCTAAAATAACTCTTTCAAAGTAAAGCAAAATAACACCGTCTGTTTCTAGTTTTTTTTTACGAAGAAAATTAGTGACATCTTCTCTTCTATTCTCTCTTAACTTCCTTCTCTCTTTTTCTCTCTATGAGTTTTTTCTTCTCTACCCCTTCGATATCAATATATAACTTCCGTTAAGTTAACCGTTTAAATGTGTCAATATCTGCTAACTCAATCATGTCTTCTTCTCTTGCCCCCTCACTTCCTCACTTCGTTAATTTACATATGTTTAATACGGCCCGTCAAAAATGAGTAAATTTTCTTTTCATTTTTTGTTTGGAAGTAAAGTCTGATGATCCACCAGTCCTTTTAAAAAGGGGTGTGGTGAAATAATTTATTACATGGAACCTTAAAGTGGTCTGTTTTTATTTTTATATATATATATATATATATATATATATATATATATATATATATATATATATAAGTTATGAAGAACTTGGTAATCCGTATGGGTAATCCCAAGGAGGATGAAATCCTGAGAGCTCAATGTAAATCCAGACCTAATATTTAAAAGAAAATAAAATTTTAAATATATCCTTGTGAAGAAAAGAAAAATCACCTAACTTGAAAAAGTGTTTGTGTTTTGTGCGTGGTCTGCCAAAGGAAAATTTAAGGAAAATACCAAAAACCTGCTACTTTTCAGAGAAACAATTCTAATATATATATATATATATATATATATATATATATATATATATATATATATATATATACTAACAACTATAATTCAAGTAAAAGAGATTACCTATCTAGAAATAGTCACGAGTTAAATTCATGAACAAAATTCAAAAGGATAGAGATGTCAACTTAATAATCAATTAATTTTTTTTATAAGTTTTTAAAAAAGATTACTACAAGTAAACTTATATTTTAAAATAAAATTTTGTACTTTCTATAAATATTTTTCTAATCGACTATTTCATAGAAAATCCCCAAAATTTAAAAAATTTAAATCACTAACAAACAAAAAAAAACTGCTACTTTTTCAGAGAAACAATGCTAATATTCTTTCCTCTTTGAATGGCGTGGCCAACCAGAAAAAATCGTTCGATGAATAAAGGCAGTTGCTTTTTTGCTTATCGGTATTAGGACGATTTTGGGCTACATCAGTTATCTTTATTTTGTTTGTTTTAATATTTTAGTTTATTTTTGGATTCAACCCCTCCGCACTTATTGTATATGATCTAAAGATTTTTAAATATAGAATTTTATGTTCATTAAATTATGTTATGGGGTGTTTTTTGTAGGTTCCCTGAGAGTATGCGGTATTATGATACATAGAGGATTGATTGATGTTGGATGAGTCCTTGTGGGGAAATTGTAACGAATGACTGGGTCGTGAATCAGATTATCTTGGTATAAGATAGTAATTGACGACCAGCCTCAGCCCATTTGCCCGCAATTCTTGGATTAGTGCCAAAAATTGTATTTTATACAATAAAGCTTTAGAACGATTTGAAGTTTGGTGAGTGAAAGTGTGTTTCACCTGATGCGACGGGAATTTTGGATTTCTGACCCCATTTTCGTTTCTAGGTTGCTGCTGGATTATTTAAAATATTTGCGATTAGTGTTGCCACTCGGATTTTTTTGGTTCTACTGACCCCACTGGGTGACACCGAAACAATAATAATAATATTAATGATAATAATAATAATATTTGTCTATATTTCGAAGATGATGTATTATGTCCATTATTTACATTATTCAGACTATTGTCCTCATCTTTGTCGCCATATTTATTACAACGTTTCGGCCTTTCAGTATCTGTCTATATTTCTGAGATGAGGTATTATGTACACTATTTACATTATTCGGACTATTGTCCTCATCTTTGTCGCCATATTTATTACAACGTTTCGGCCTTTCATTATCTGTCTATATTTCTGCGATGAGGTATTATGTACACTATTTACATTATTCGGACTATTGTCCTCATCTTTGTCGCCATATTTATTACAACGTTTCGGCCTTTCAGTATCTGTCTATATTTCTGAGATGAGGTATTATGCACACTATTTACATTATTCGGACTATTGTCCTCATCTTTGTCGCCATATTTATTATAACGTTTCGGCCTTTCAGTATCTGTCTATATTTCTGAGATGAGGTATTATGTACACTATTTACATTATTCGGACTATTGTCCTCATCTTTGTCGCCATATTTATTACAACGTTTCGGCCTTTCATTATCTGTCTATATTTCTGAGATGAGGTATTATTTACATTAATTACATTAATCGGACTATTGTCCTTTCATCTTTGTCTATATTTCTGCATATTTTATTACAACGTTTCGACCTTTCATTATCTTTCGTCTATATTTCTGCGATGAGGTATTATGTACACTATTTACATTATTCGGACTATTGTCCTCATCTTTGTCGCCATATTTATTACAACGTTTCGGCCTTTCAGTATCAGTCTATATTTCTGAGATGAGGTATTATGTACACTATTTACATTATTCGGACTATTGTCCTCATCTTTGTCGCCATATTTATTACAACGTTTCGACCTTTCATTATCTGTCTATATTTCTGCGATGAGGTATTATGTACACTATTTACATTATTCGGACTATTGTCCTCATCTTTGTCGCCATATTTATTACAACGTTTCGGCCTTTCAGTATCTGTCTATATTTCTGAGATGAGGTATTATGTACACTATTTACATTATTCGCGCTATTGTCCACATCTTTGTCACCATATTTATTACAAACTACCTGAAGAAGGCCGGGACGTACAACGGCCGAAACGTTGTAATAAATATGGCGGCAAAGATGAGGACAATAATGTAAATAATGCGACAATAATAGTATTTTAAATATTTTATAAATCATAACAATAATATTTTACAATAATATAATAATATTTATTTGTATTATGTCTTTCTTGATCTTTACACGAGTCACAGCAGAAAGTGGCTGGCACCTTCTCCAATGCCTTATCTTTACCTGAGTCAAATCAGACGAAAAATTTAATATTGCTATTATACCTGGGCTGGAGCCGCCCAATCCTCACAATAGGACCATGACAGAGTTTTAAAGAAAATGTTTACGCTTCCCTTCATTTTGATTTTTTCATCTTTCCCTACAAAGAACTGCTTTTTTAGTTTTTTTAGTTTTATTTTTTTTTTTTCTTGTGAAACTCTTTTTTTCGTTAAAAGAATTCAGTGAATAGTGAATTAATAATTTCTAACGAATACGTTGGATGAGTACAAAATTTAAAACCACATTCTCAGAACTATTTTATTTTTTCAGTTCCAGTCAACCAAAAATATCCACAAATATTTTCTCGAAATTAAGAGGTAAGTAATGTAAGTGTTAGCGTAAGTAATGTTTTCTCATTGGCATTCTTCGAAGTTTGGCTAGCTTCTCATTTAATCAAAGACTGCACTAGCTGTGACCACGGAATTTTTATTTACCATTGATGTGTCCGAATCTGTCGAAGAATTCAATCATGTTTGGTGGACGATATTTTTATGCTTGGTCATCGATTGAATCAGAAACTTGATAATTCATTCATATGCAGTTTGGATCGATTATTTCCTCTTAACGGCAAATCGATTAAATATGAGTTATTTCTTCCTTTTACTTCTGTCTTTCTTTCTTTCTTTCTTTCTTTCTTTCTTTCTTTCTTTCTTTCAAACATTTTGCATTTTGCAAGTTTTCTTTTCAATCTCTCCACCTCCTATCTTTTTTTTTCTTTTCGTAGTTTCTCCCCTATTTTTTGTTTAGGTTTAAGTTTCTGGTTTCTTCTAAAATCCTTCTCTTTTACTCTAAGTAGCTCCTTGTATCTTAATGACATTATCGCCTTGGTTCGGGATGAATTGATTAAAAAAAAACATTGGTGTAATTTTCAATCCTTTCTTTCTTTCTTTCTTTCTTTCTTTCTTTCTTTCTTTTCAGTTGATTTATAGTTTCTTTTATTCCGTCGATAATTTTTCCCTTTCTTCTTTCTTTCTTTCTTTCTTTCTTTCTTTCTTTGTATCTCTCTGTAGGTCGCTTTTTCACTTCTTTCTACTTTTTGCCTACTTCTTTCTTTTTTCTTTCTTTTCACTCTCTCTGTTTTTCTTTCTTTCTTTTTCTTTCTTTCTTTGTTTCTTCCTTTCTTTCTGTTGGATCACCTTGCTCTCTGTTTTTTTCTTCTTCCTTTCCTATTTACTTTTTCTTTCTTTCTTTCTTTCTTTCTTTCTTTTTTCTTTATTTTATCTTTCTATTGTTTCTTTCTTTCTTCTTTTCAATCTCTACACTTTGTTTTTATGCTTGTTTCTTGTAATCCAATCTTCTTTGTTTTTCTTCCTTTATATATTTTGTTATTCATATCCCTCTATATTCGACTTCTTTTTCTTTCTTTTCTCTCGCTCTATTTTTGGTGTCTTTCTTTCTCTTTTTTCATTCCCTCTATTTTTTTATTTTTCCTTTTCTCTTTCCAAAATCTTTTTTCTTTCCAATCCCACGATAGTTTGCTTTTTTGTATTTGTTATCTTTCTTTCTTTTCACACTCTCTGATTTTCCATATCTTTTTTCTCTCTTTCTTTTCACTCCCTCTGCTTTTCGGTATATTTCTGTTTTTCTTGTCACTCTCTCCTCTTTTCCGTATCTTTCATTTTCTCTTTCTTTTCATCCTCTCCGCTTTTCCGAATCTTTCTTTCACTCTTTCTTTTCAAACCCAGTTTTCTTTCCTACATCTTTCTTTCTTTATTCATTTCATTTTTTTCTTTCTTTCTAATCTCTATACTGTATGCTTGTTTGTGCCTTTGTTCGTTTCGTTTCGTTTCGTTTCTTTCTTTTTTTCTTTCTTTCTTTCTTTTTTTCTTTCTTATTTCTGTATATTATTTCCCATTATCGTTTGCTGCAACGTCCACTTTCACCTTTTCATTCCTAAATCGTTCATTCCTTTTACACATCCATTTCTTTTCTAAATCCATAATTATTAATATAATATCCTTTCGCCTTCAATTTATTGTCTATCTTCTCATATTTCCTTCCTTCTTTCTTCTTCTCGTGTCGTCTATCGCTTTCTTTCATCTTTTGTTTCAAATGTTTTTTCTGTTCTGTTTTCCTTTTAAATTTCTTCAATATTTCTTCCCCCACACTTTCTTTTTCTCAATTCACATTCCTTCAGTCTTTTGAATATTTCCTTCCTTCCTTCGTTCCTACTTTCCTTTCTTCCTGTCTTCCTTCCTTCCTTCCTTTCTTCCTTCCTTCCTTCCTTCCTTTCCTTTCTTTCCTTCGTTCCTGCATTACTTTCCTTCTTTTCTTTATTTCTTTCCTCTTTTCCTTCATTCCTTCCTTCCTTCATTCCTTCCTTCCTTCCTTCCTTCCTTCCTTTCCTATTGTTTTCCTTCCTTCCTTCCTTCCTTCCTTCCTTTTTTCTTCCTTCCTTCCTTTCTTCCTTTCCTTCATTCCTTCCTTTCTCCCTTCCTTCCTCACATCATACCTTCCTTCCTTACTTTACTTTCCTTTCCTTCCTTCATTCTTTCATTACTTTGCTTCCATCCTTTTCTTCTTTCCCACTTTCCTTCCCTCTTTTCTTTCTTATTTCATACTTTCCTTCATTCCTTTCCCATTCTTTTCCTTCCTACCTTCTTTCCTTTCCTCCTTTCCTTCCATCCTTCCTTCCTTTCTATACTTTTCTTTACCGTCTTTCCTTCCTTCCTTCCGTCATTTCTTTCCTTCCTTCTTCCTTCCTTCCTTCCTTCCTTCCTTCCTTCCTTCATTCCTTCCTTCCTTTCTTTCTGCCTTCCTTCCATTCTTCTTTTCCCTCCTCCCTTCCTCCGTTTATTTCCTTCCTTCCTTCCTTCCTTCCTTCCTTCCTTCCACTCTTTCTGCCTTCCTTCCATTCTTCCTTTCCTTCTTCCCTTCCTGCCTTATTTCCTTCCTTTCCATTCCTTCCTTCCTTCCTTCCTTCGTTCCTTTCCCCCATTTCATTCTTCCTTCCTCCTTTTCCTTCATTCATTTCTTCCTTCCATTACTTCCTTCATTCCATTCCTTCCTTCTTTTCCTTCCTTCCTTCCTTCTTTCCTACTTTATTACCCTACTTCCTTTTTTCCTTCCTTCCTTCCTTCATTCCTTTCCGTCCTTCTTTCCTTCCACCCTTTCCTTCTTTTTTTCTTCCTTCCTTCCTTTCTTGCTTCCCTTCATTTCTTCCTTTCTCCCTTCCTTCCTCCTTCCTTCCTTCCTTCCTCCCGCCACCCTTAATTCCTTCCTTCTATCCTTTTTTGCTTCCTTTCCTACCTTCCTACTTCCCTTTTTTCCTTCCTTTACTTCCTTCCTACCATTCTTCCTTCCTCCCATTCCTTTCCTTTCCATTCTTTCATTCGTTCTTTCCTTCCTTCCTTCCTTCCTTCCTTCCTTCCTTCCTTCCTTCCTTCTTTCTTTCTTTCCTTCCTTCATTCCTTCATTTTTTTCCTTCCTTCCTTTCATTCCTTTCCTTCCTTCCCTTTCCTTTCCTTCCTTTCTTCCTTCTTTCCTTCCTTTCTTCCTTTCCTTCCTTCCACCCTCCCTTCCTTCCTTCCTACCTTCCTTCCTCACTTCCTACCTTCCTTCCTTCCTTTACTTTACTTTCATTCCTTCATTCCTTCATTACTTTCCTTCCGTCCTTTTCTTCTTTCCCCCTTTCCTTCCATCTTTCCTTTCTTCTTTCCGCCTTTCCTTCCTTCCTTCCTTTCCCATTCAAACCTTCCTACCTTCCTTCCTTTCCTTCTTTCCTTCCATCCTTCCTTCCTTTCTTTACTTATCTTTACCTTCTTTCCTTCCTTCCTTCCTTCCTTCCTTCCTTCCTTCCTTTCTTTCTGCCTTCCTTCCATTCTTCCTTTCCTTCCTTCCTTCCTTCCTTCCTTCCTTTCTTTCCTTCGTTCCTGCATTCCTTTCCTTCCTTCCTTTCCTTCTTTCCTCTTTTACTTCCTTCCTCCTTTCCTTCCTTCCTTTCCTATTGTTTTCCTTCTTTCCTTCCGTCCTTCTTTCCTTCCTTCCTTCCTTCATTCCTTTCCTTCCTTTCTTCTTTCTTTCCTTCCTTCCTTTCTTCCTTCCTCCCTTTCTTTTATTCTTCCTTACTTCCTTTCTTCCTTTCCTTCATTCCTTCCTTTCTCCCTTCCTTCCTCACTCCATACCTTCCTTCCTTCCTTCCTTCCTCACTTCATACCTTCTTTCCCTTTCCTTTCCTTCCTTCATTCCTTTCCTTCCTCCCTTTCTTCC